CTCGCGAGCACGGGCATCTTCGCGACGACGATCCACACGCAGGACTTCAAGGACGTTGACGGCGACCGAGCCATCGGCCGGCAAACGATCCCGATCGTCTTCGGGGCCGCTGCGCGCTGGACGGTGATCGTGCCGCTGGTGCTCTGGTCGGTCGGGCTCTCCGTGTTCTGGGGCCTTAGCATCGTGGCGGGTGCGGCTGTCACCGCGCTTTCGGTGTATGTGGGTGTGCTCTATCTCAAGGGGAAGACGATACATGAGTATCAGGTGGCCTTTTACTGGTACAACGTGCGTGCGGTCTCTCCAATTGTTTTCCGTGATGAATCGGACTAACTGCGATTATCATATCCGCAGGTCTGGCTGTCTACCGCACACGCGCTCCCTGCGTATTGTCGGCTCTTCAGTGAGCCGTACTATGCACTGGGTGCTTGAAACGAGGCACTCCGTTCGCGTCCCGCTGGCTGTCGCTACTATGCCGTTATCTCTCTCTTTCTTCTGCTATGGCGTCGTTCCTGTCCCTTCGCTCCCTTGCAGTAGCAAGGCTGTAGGATATGTGCTTCAAGTCCCGCGCGATGGTATGATATTTATCCGATTTCGCTCTGCAACTTGCTTTGTACAGTATCTGTGTATGCGAGCCTCATCCTTCCCGATTGAAGTTCCAAAAAATGCTCTTGAATGTACCATCGCCCCTGGTTGCCGTATAGACACCGCTGAATCTCATGAGTGATGGGCTATAGTACCACTGCGGGAGGCCTGACTTGGAAACACGCACGTTTATTTCGGATCTTCCCAGTGTTATGCTTCGCGAGAGAGTTTGCTTTGCTCGCACCACCGTAACTCGCGGATGCTAATACTAAACGCCAGATGACCACGTCCGACCGCGGATCCAGGGTTCGTGTGAGGAAGAATGCTGCTCGAGAATGACAGCGGCTCTTTAGCTGCGGTCATATCGGTGGACTATTGACAGTTTTCAGTGATGCTACGGATATTACTGGGAAGTCCAGACGCTTTGGAGCTCCAGGGTTCGCACTACTGAGCTTTGAAGCCTGACTCCACCAGTCATATGCCCTTCGACAATCGCAGTAATATCACTGGCATCTACACTCGGCTAGATGCTATAAAATATAAAGGAACTTCGGTTCGAACCAGGGCAGTGGTCCGGGCGCATGTAATAGCTGGCAAATCCTACTTGGCCAAGTACCGGGAGTTCGCTGAAGCCTGTGAGTAGCACCGTGTACCAGTCGAATACTTTACCAATCGCAGCGCTGTTTTATCAGAAGCTTCAGATTGTCGGGATGCCGTACATCCAGTGTTTGGCTCATTCGAGTGGAGATAGTGCATCATATTCCGATTGAATGTCGGTCCGAACATTTCCTTGACAGACCGTAGCTAGCAATCAAAGACGTCGTGCCATATACCTCTCACGAGCCGCCAATCTCCTTACGAGCAGATAGCGCAGTGGTACACTTGAGTGGATTGCGAGTGAGGTGATTAGTTCTGGGGGATAGATACGTCCGCACTGGCTAGCTTGTGAGTCTGGGCCTTCCGGTATGCGATTTGTGATCTCCTGAAGCATCGAAGTCTGAGAGAGCAGTCAGAAATCACCGTCCGCATCGAGGCCACAGCCCGTAGGGCGGGACTCTCAGGCGGCAATAATTGACTTGGTATCCTCAAGCGCTTTCTTTGCAAGAAGTTTGCTCTCCTCGATAATCCTGTCAATATCGTCAGGATGTCAAACGCCACATATGTCATAGCGTACACACCTGATGAGCGCGTCGCGCTGCCGCATAAACTCCATCCGGTTCGGAACATCAGTGTCCCCCTTGAAGTGCGCACCGACGTCGAGCGAAACCTGCACGAAGGGCAGGGGGTAGTCGCGGGTCGCCATTCAGACCGACGATGCACATGTCGTCGAGGGTCTCAGTGCGGTCATTAAAGTCGCAGTCACAGGAGCCCTCCGAGTCGGAGGACGAATAAGACGAGTGTTCGTCGCTGTCCTCGTAATTATCGTCAGCGCGACAGGCTCCTACGCAAGGCTCGCAAGGGTGGCGGCACACCTCTAGTTCCCCATACTCGTTGATCCCGACATAGCCTATATCCTTCACTATGACAGCTGGGGACGGACTTTGCGCTGACGTGCACGAGCGCTCGCGCCGCATGCTTTCCACGAGCAGAGGCTGAGAGTCCCGCTCTTCCGCCTGTACAGGTACGCCCGCAACATGCTGCGTACCATCCCGTTCCTTCCTGGCGCAGCTACTCAGCCACATGTCCCGGTTCTGTATACCCACCATCTTCACATGCTGGCCCACGGGCAAGGTCGTTCTTGGCCCAACGCCGTAGTCTCGCCCATCGTTCACAACCCGGATGTCCAGCCGCATGTCCGATGCGGACCAGTGGTAGAAGTTGCCGAACGGAAACGGGGGGTCCGAGCGGAGCGCCTCACGGTCGGCCATGGGGTGGCCGGTGTTGGGGAGGATGAGGATGCACATATCGGGCGTAATGTAGAGGTCGGGGTATGCGGGGCGCAGCCCGGGGCCGACGAGGCACACCATGTACTTGAAGTAAGTCTCGTGTGGGAGCCGCAGCCGAAGGACCTGCTGGAGGCTTAGAGCGTGGTCGGGGGCTAGGAGAGGGAGACGCACACCATGTCCAGGTAGACGAAGCACTTGGTCGTCTTGATAAACGCGCCGACGGCGGAGGCGAGGGGGTCGTGAGAGGTTGGAGTGCTTTCTTGACGTCGATTCCTACGACGCCGTAGCTGCC